TAGTGCGCCTCGAGTTGCGCACAGACTGATGACAGTCCACTATAGCGAGCGCGGCCAATCAGATCCCAACGCCTCCCCCGCCGTTGCCCCAAACAACAAGAACGAAGCAACCAGTCGCCACCCTGCAGCCGCTCAGTCCAGGTGCGGGTGCGCCCAGCCATGGAAAATCGGTCCAACAACATGTCCTTCGGTCTGGGGCAAATGCGGTCGTGTCCAGGTTGTCATCGGCCTCGTCTCCAAGACAGCCGAATGCAAAACTCTGAACGGCCGCAAGCAGCTTACTCGAAGTGCAAGCCCGACGGCAGAGGACGCGACGCACTTCAGTAACCAGATGCGCGGTACTATCCTTCTTAACATGCGTCATCCTCTTTGAATATGCCTGAATGGGTGCCGTGCAAAATCCGCAAGCCCCAAGCACTTTCCCCGCCCTCTTCGCCATGGTGCGCAGGGGGGTCATATGGCCGCGCTGGGCTTTCGGGCTGCCCAGGGTTCTCCTCTGCAGCTTCTTTCTCTGGATGGGGGGCAGGGCGGGGGCCGCAGACGCCCCTTATTTCAGCAGCCGCGCCCAGATCCAACGCTGCTGCCGCCGCGCGCGCGCGCGACAGACGACCAGGTTGAAGCTCATCATCCACTGGATTGACAAGGAAGGATGTCTTCAATCTCATATTGAACGGCATCCAGGGGCGAGCGTGGCATGATGGCGCGGAACTCGATCGCCGTCGACATCAGGTCAACTCCCAATCGCTAGGATCGGCTGGTCAGTCGGGATGTAGAGAAAACAGATGGCAATGCTATTAGCACAGGCGCGCGAGGGAGGCGCAGGGGCTCCAACTTTGGCGCTCATTTATATTCGCACAGGGCCCCCCTTGACAGCATCGGGGCGGGCCCCCCTTGACGGGGGCCCCGCGTCGCAACAACTCGCTAGGTCGCGCCCCAGGAAAAATGGGCAACGGCAGCGCTGTCTTTGCAGAGCTCCCGATGCACAGCCAATCACTTGAGAAGGGACCCCAATAATCTCTAAAGCTGCAAGGGCCCGCGCAATGACCAGCGGTGGGAAGGCGGCGCGGGTGTCCGCGAGGAGAATGCCAGACCCAAGCTCCCGTCATTCAACTTCGACCGCAGTGTCCGGATGCAACTGGCCAGGAGCCCCCCCCCCCCCGCCCATATCCGGCAAGGGTCGATGGTCGATCAAGCAGGCCTCTGCAACCTCCTCGAGCACGCGCCGCCCAACATCGCGGCATTCGCGATGGCATCTGTCCCGGGCGCGGTCCTTTGTCCCCCTTCGGCAGGCCAGTCGGCTGGAAAACCCGCTGACCTCGCGTCGTCGCGTCCGGGGCAGTCCCAGCCGGGCGCCTGGCACATCTCAGAACCGACAGAATAAAGGATGTTCGCGTCGCCGCCCGCCCCCCTATATCCTCGCGGAAAACCACCCCCCCCCGAGGCCGCCTGGCGAGGTCCAGCGCCCAGGCAGAGCTGCCCGGAGCGGGGGGGCGAACATGTTCGAGAATCGCAGGCCAGAGAGACTCATCGGGGGACTGCTCAGCGAGCGCGCTCGCCCTGCGCGCCGCTTGCGCCGCGCTTGACTGATCGGGGCTACGCGGGCGCGCCCATCGTAATCAATGGTGCCAGCAGGGCCATGCCGACGCTTCGTCCTGGACTATGCGCGACGCGCGTGATGCTGCCTGTTCGGCCGCTTGGTCTTCGAGACATCCTCCTCGTCCTCCCATCTTTCCATCTCGCGCAACGTCTGGGCGCGCCGCGAATTCTTCGACGTCTTGACATGCGATCCTCATCTCACCCCCCCAGGTCTGCGCGTCTCTCGCGGTTGATATTCAAGAGTGCGAAGAGAGCAGGATCGCGCCGCCAGGCAGCCGCGCGCGGCCTGGAATCCCCGCGTCTCCATCCGCGGAAGGCCACGCGGACGAAGCGAAGCCTCTCGCGGATCAACCGTGGAAGGCGTTCGCGCGACCTCTCCGCGAAGACAGAAACCGCCCGCCTGCAGACTTCTCTCCTCGGCGTCAGCATGTCCCGACGACAGTGCGCGGGGTCGATTGCACGAACTGCCGAGCCACGCCGGGCCCGTGGCAGAGTTCACGCATGGAGATCCCCTCCGGGGCCTGCTTCGGGGACGCAGGAGGGGCGCGGGCACCGGCCGCTGCGGCGACGCGGGCGCGGCCCGATGCGGGCGCCTGCTTGACCGGCGGAGCCCACGGTGCCATCCATAGATGCGAGATCTCGCAGCGTCGCCGCAGGGGGGCCGGTGCGCAGGCCATCCAGACGCGCGGCGCCCCTGGAAAGAGTCTCGTGCGCATCGCGCCGCGTGGGGTCAGGCTGGCGGAGCTCGGCCCGCGCCCCGCGCATTGTGGCGCGCGCGCCAGCTTGGCGCCTATCGCCAGCCGAGCAGACATCATCTGTCCTGGACCTCCCGCCGTCAACTTCCATGAAGTTGCAATCGCCGGCAGAGGGCCGCGGAGCACGGGGCGGATGGCGGGGGGGGGCGCCGTGGTTTCATCAAGGTATCAACGGGACACGCCGATCGGCTTAGAGGTGGTTGGCACGTTGCATCAAGATGCATGCATCCTCACGAGTCCTTTTTCAGGTTAGACATAAAGACTCTGCCCGGGATGGTCATCCAAAATGTGCGCTCCTGGCACTGAGAGACCAACCTGCTCGTTCGCACCGTGCGTGCCGCATCCGCCAAGCCTCAGTTCTATCGTCGAAAGAGCGCATCGCTGAATTACGACAACAGTCGTCACGAGAGGGGGGCCCAACAACCGCCACCAGATGATGCGCCTCTTGAGAACATACCACGTCATACGTGCCCAGGATATGACATGTACGCACTGGGCCCGAACATGCAGCGAAGCAGAAAAGCATATGCAGAACGCGCGCATCCCAAGGGCAAACAGAATAGCGGAGGGAGAGAACGCACCGTACGCTGTGACGAAGGATCAGGAAGTGCAGAAGCCTCCAAACGATTTAGCATTGAAAACAGAAGCTGGCTGAACCACAACTGGGGGTACAGAAAGGCCGGGCTAACACCCTGTCCCCAAGAGCCGACCCCCCCTGGATAGGACGAGGGTCCCAGACGGACGACGACAATCCACAGGATGGGACGGGCAACTGGGCCCTTAGGCCCTACTTGGGGTCTCACACAAAGGACCTGATTTGACTGAAAAGATTGCGCGCGCACCCGCAGTGCTGACTCTTGCCTAAATCCCCTTGGAAAGGATGACGGGGTGCTGAGGGGACAGCAAGCCATGGATCTGGCCACCAAGTTAATTTCAGCCCACGTGGAACTCACCGACAACCTTAGCGAAGATCGCGTGAGCTTGGCAGAGTTAGTAAACCAACTTACGGCCCTGCGGAGGCAAGTCACGACGAACACGAAGTCCCCACGGGTCACCATCGACTGGATTCTTGAACGAAGGCTCCCAGGTGGACCCACTCCTACCGAAGAGTGGTGAGCGGGCAAGGGTGTGAGGGAAGTCTAGGGGTACTTTCGTGGTCAATGTGTGCTACCGCACGGTAGGCTCTCCCCCGTCAGGGCGGAATTCGAAAACGATCGCGGCGACGGCTTCCTCCCAGGATGTGTCCAACAAGGGCGTCTGTTAACAAAGCACAGCTAGACGAGTAATACTTTCCGGATCTGGACCAGAGCTCCTCGCCATCTTGCTGCGAAGAATGGCTTCCTCATCGGAGTTCGAGCCAGCACGAGTCGCAGACGAGACCTGGCTACGAACGGATTCCATATGGTCCAGGATACCATCGTTGATGCAACGCGTCTTCCCGCCATGGATGGCCAGGTCCTGGAGGCGCTTAATCTCTGCGAAATGGTCATTGGTCGACTGTTGCATCTGAAAGACTCAACTTGCATTTGATTTAAGTCCGCGCGCGTGCCCTGGATCTGGGTACGACAACTTCGGCTTCTGCCGACGCCGAAGCAAAACCGTGTTGCACAATGGCGGCAGGGCTCTGCATCAGGGAAGCGATGGCGCAAATGCTCTCCATCTGTTCGAGAGTACCTGTGGGCGCAGCGGGCTGCGCACTCCCCCCGCCCCGTACCCGCTGGGGTAGGAGGAGCAAGCCCGTGCGACACTGGCATCGGCGCCGCAAGCATCAAAGCCGCCATTGCGCGCCGCCGGGGCGAGGGCCAGAAGTACAGGAGAGGGACGGACCAAAATAACGGGGCAGGGGGAGACCCCGCGCAGATTACCTTGAGCCAGACTCGCTTGAGCCAGCAAGAATATGGAAAGAGGAAGAGAAGGAAGAGGAAGAGGTGGGTGGGTGGAGGAGGAGGCGGTGGAAACTGAAATAGAGTAGGAGGCGGAGAGCACCCAGGGGGAACGGGCCAGGTTGCTGACGAGGACTCAGCGGAGAGAAGGAGGGAGCTGGAGGTGGAGACTGCGGCGACATGGGGGGCGGAAGGGTAAGTCGCTCCCCGCCTCCTCCTCCTCCTCCTCCTCCTCCTCCTCCTCCTCTCCTCCTCCTCCTCCTCCTCCTCCTCCTCCTCCTCCTCCTCCTCCTCCTCCTCCTTGTCGCTCTCTCCCCATCGGCGTCCCTCTCCACAGCTCTTCTCTGCTCCTTCGCCGAGTAGCCGGTGGCGTGGGGCGCGCGCGCGGCCGTGGTGTGCGAGGGGCGAGAGGGCGGGGCTCACGAGATCGCGTTCGGCGCCTTGCCGAAGAGCGCAGGGGGACGAGCCGAGGTGCACGGATCGACGGTGGGCGAGTCCACTGCTGACGGCCCCGCCCCCAAAGGGCTCTGACAGCCCAGGGGCGGAACTCTTTTTGTCGCAGCGGCGGCGCACGCGCACCGCTGGGCGCCTCGCGACACGCCAGGCCCTGCGAGCCGAGGGCGCGTCGCTCCGCCCCGTGGGGGGGGGGGGGGCCGGGAAAAGCTCGGGCCCGGCCGTGCGGCCCAGGCCGAAGGAGGCGCCGAGCCGCGGCTGCCCTCGCGGCCCGCGCGCGCGCGTGGCCCACGCCAGGCGCGGCGCGGGGCTCCTGCTCCAGCGCCTCCGGCGGCGCGGGGGCTGCGCCGTCGCTCCCCGCAGACCTGGGCACGCCGCGCCCCTCCCTGAGGGCCCCCCCTCCTCCTCCTCCTCCTCCTCCTCCTCCTCCTCCTCCTCCTCCTCCTCCTCCTCCTCCTCCTCCCTCCTCCTCCTCCTCCTCCCCCCTCCTCCTCCCTCCTCCTCCTCCTCCTCCTCCTCCTCCTCCTCCTCCTCCTCCTCCTCCTCCTCCTCCTCCTCCTCCTCCTCCTCCTCCTCTGCTCCAACTCAGCCTCTTTGCTCTCCTCCTCCTCCTCCCTCCTCCCCTTCTCCTTCCTCCTGCACCCCTGACCCCCCCACTCCTCCCATCTCCCTCCCCATCCGCCTCTCTTCGTCATCGCTCCTCGCAAGTACCTCCTCCCCCCTCATCCTGGTTCCCCCTCCCGAATCTTCCTTGTCCCTCTCCATCCGACTCACGCTTCGACCAAACTCCCTCCGCCTGCTCTAGCTGCTGCTGCTCATTTTCGCCCTCCGCCTTTCACCTCGTCCTTCTTCTCATCTTCCTTACTCCTCCGTCATCCTTCTCCTTCCTCTCATCCACCCCTCCCTCCTGGAGGAAGGCGAGGGGGAAGGAGGGGAAGGAGGACGACACGGGGAAGGAGGATGAGAGGGAGGGAAGGGGGAGGAGGGAGGATGATGAGGAGGAGTACGCGGATGCATGACGAGGAGGAATAGGGCGGGGGCGGAGCATTGGAACGCCTGTTGCTCCGCGTTTCAGCATGCTTGTTTTATAGGAGCGGGCAACATGATGGAACCTTCAGCTATCTCATCCCAGCCTGCCAGGCGACAATAGCAGATGCAGCATCCGAGTGAACAACGCCAGATACAAAAAAACGTAAGCGGCCATCCCTACATATATATATATATATAAATATAAAAAAAAAAACATACATGCCACACTTTCGCTGAGGAACTTGGGGAGGAAAGAGGGAGGAAGCACGAGGTACTCAACAAAGCGAGGATCAAAACTATCACCCCGAAAACGGGCGGTGGCGTGTAACCCAGCAGGAAACGAGAAAGCCAGCGGGACGAACATGCGGGCAGCTATGACGATACGAGCTCAACTTCAAAACGTATCGGCGCCGCACGGGGAGCAAGGGGAGGAAGGGCAAGAAGATAGGATGAACGAACAGCCAGCGAAGGTCCGCAATCCGACCTCGGAGCGAGCACCGCACACTCCGTGCGCGCCGATAACACCGACATCCTGGTGCCATTACTGCCCTGGAACATGACAGCCTGTCCCGGCTGATGGCTGCGACTGGGCGTGTATCAAACTGTGGTGTGCACACCGCGGCGAGTCAAACACGGTGCAACGACCAAGAACACCGGTCAACAGCGCTGCGCAACGTGCAGCACACAACGACATCGGCCGTCGGCGGCGACGGCGGAGGAGGAAAGGAGACGAGGAACAATAGTGGACGGCACAGGGCCCGACAGCCTGCAAGCGAGCAAGGGCCTCGACACTTGCTTGGAGCAGCTCCCGCCGCAACCGCAGCGATCCTGGGCAGCCTCGGGACCATCAGAACGACCCTGGAGCCAGAAGGGGTCCAAACAACCAGTCGAGTTCGCAAGACAGCTCGCCGTGCCGTTTCGGCCCTTCCGTCGTCGTGCTGCCGCGAGGAAGTCCGCCCAAGAAACGCCATGGCTCTTCTGGCCACGGTACGCCGCCCAGGCCGCGATGGGGGCCTGCCGACCTCGCTCCGGGGAACGGCCCGCACACCCGCGCCCCTCCCGAGCCCAGGGCGGTCCTCTTATCTCTCAGCGCCCGGACTGCACCGACCCGCAGCCAGAGCGGGGATCAGACGTCGGCCATAGCCTCGCAGAACCCGTGAAGGACAACTGCTCCAGGGCACGTCCGACTGCTCGTCTGCGACGTCGGCCTCGTCGTCGTCGTCGTCGTCGTCGTCGTCGTCGTTGCTCTCCACCACCCCCGTCGGCTCCCTCTCCTCCGACGTCCGCCACCCCAGCCTCCCTCCCCTGCCCAAGCTCTCCCCGTGAGCTCCGTGAGGTAGACCTGTGAGGGCCTGGCGAGGAGCGCTGGGGTGACCACTGCGCCCTCAAGGAATCTCGCGCGAGGCTCGCGCGAGGACTGCCCGCGCGTGGCGAGGTCACCAGGCGAAGCGACGCGGAGCCCGCGCGCCCCCGAGGGCGTCGCAGAAGACGCAACGAGCCATCGCAGCGCCCATCGAAGTTGCAACTGTTGCCGACGCGCCAACAAATCAACTCTGCAGATTTTCGGCTGCACGCGGAAATGCGCCAGTTGTTTATTCTGGCGGCCCTTCATCCGACGAACGCATGCCGTCTCCTGAATCATGCCCGCCTGCGCCGGAGCGCAGGGGGCGGGGAAGGGGGGAGAAGGCGCCGGCCAACCTCTCCCAAGTACCGGCCGCCCGCGGGATGCTTCGGCCAATCTTTCCTCACGCTCTGCTCTCTGGCCTTCTACTCGACGTGTTTGTCCCGCAACCGCATAGAGACGGCATTTCCTTGAACGTCTCCTGCAGCGCGGTTCAGCAGGTCCCACTCGCCAGCCATTGATCTGGAGCCATCAGTCTTGATGATACGTTCGCCCAGATCCAGAGCTTGCTGACGACGGCGCACATTCCTATACGATGACGCAGACTGGCAAACCAGTGCGAGGAGCTGCACGCGATCGTTTACTATAGGAATCAGGCTCGTCCCAAATCTGCAGGACCTTCTGAACACGACCGCGCAGCATGTGAGCTTTCGACCAAGCAGTATACTCAATTACAGTTGGCTCAACCCCCACATCACCCAACAGCCGCTGCCACACGTCATCGGCTCGCGCCCAATCTCTCCTCTCGGCAGCAGTGTTCACCAAGGCGCCTAGAAACTTGAAATGCATGGTCCAACATCCATTTCTCTCCTGCTGCGGCAGCTCTCACGATCATCTCATGAACTTCGTCGTGGAGCTGGTGCGATTCCATCAATCTCGCATCTGTCGCATTATGTTGGCCATCCAGCTCAAAGGGTTCCGCCAACGCCCAACGCCAAAAATCCCGTGCCAACGACAGGCTTCTGGAATCGCGGGCGGCTATGCATACTTCCATACTTCCAGGGCGGCGCCCAAACAGACGTTTCGTCTGCGGCGATATCTCCGTTATGCCATACTTTCGCCCAAGTCTGACAAGTTCGCGCTGTCTGGCGAGCACGAGCCCGAATCTGTCGCCACGGGCGCTGCGGGCCAATGCTGTCAGACAGATGCTCTTTAGTATCGGGAGCAAGCGCACGTCACTCGTCTTGCGCAGCGCCATGCTGTCTATGAGCATCGACCACCAGTTGTTGTACCTGCACGCTCGCATCGCTGAGCCGGACACGCTGGGTTCCGCAAGCCCCTTCGAACACGTCTCGGTGACGCATTGCCAGAGCCCCGCCGCTAAGCGTCTGGTTTTGATTTTCTGGCGCACTGGATATGTCTTGTCGCTCCGACCTTGCGGATTTGCATGACTGGGGGCCGACGGTCTCATCAGCATGGGGTGCAGCTCGTTCGCCTTCCTCCCCGACGCCTTGGAACACATGTTGGGTTTGTTCAGGGCCCTCTTGCGCACTCCGCTTGGAACCTGGTCAGGCCTGGAGTGACTCCGCATGGCGCAGATGGCGACCGCTCCCAAGAAGGCAGGGCTGCCCGCTGGCGAGAGCCGCAACTGGTTCGGCTGCTTCGGCGATGGCGCCGACGGCGCAGCGACATGACATCAGCCAAACAGTTGCGCGGGCCACTTGCGAGCAGGCTCCGCCAGCAGCGAAGACAGGGCGAGGCGCGTCACGCGCGCCCAGCACAACAACCGAGGAAAGCCTCGCTGCGCGAGATGCAGAACATGGCCTGCACGCTCAGCAAGGTCACCATCGTAACGCTCAGGCGACGTCAGCGCGCTCAGGACGATCCCCTCCGTACTCGCTGCACGCACCCCGCCAAGTAAGCCCGCAGGGCGACCAGGGTGAGGACCATTACGCCCCGAGCGTGTGCCACCCCATCTGCCTCATGCAGATCGCCATCAACTCGCGCAGGAGAACAATCGACGAACGACGACCACTGCAACCTCACACCTCCGTAAGGTAAAGGCACCGTGTGCGGACGACGGGGCATATGGCACGCTCGAGATCGCAGGGGAGCCTCGGGAATTCGCCAAGAACTCCCCTACAGTCTTGCGCTGAGGAAGGAACACTTTTCGTTGGGGAGGGGCTCGGTGTTCCTTAGTTGTTTTGCAGTTCGCCTTTGGTTTTGCTTAGGGGTTCGATGGGAACTCGAAGTTTAACTTATGGGAAAAAGGGGCCTCGTTCCTTATTTAGGGTTCCTTAGGTCAACGCCCCGACTGTAGGTGCTGGCGCTACCGTGGACCTTGGCGGCGTTGTCTTCGTTCATGCTGGTGCCAACCTCGGTCTCCCATCAGCTGCTGTCTGAGGCTCCCAAAACTGCGTCCTGGCAGTGTGGCCAAAATCCAGCCTCTGCTTCCAAAAAGCGCATCAGGTGAACGATAGTCACTACCACCGCCGGGCTCCGAGATGCACCACTGCGCTCCAGAAGTTGGGGAACCAGGCGAGCTGAGGCTCGTAAAACCAATCGGGCTCCAACGGGAGCTCATCAATTAGATGTTCGTTTTGGGGGCCTACCTGGGACCCGCCTGACGGATCAGTGTGACGCTAGCACCGACTCCAGTTCGACTCTAGCTCGACTCAAGTTCGACTCAAGTCGACGGACGTTCGACGCAGCATCGAAGCATGAGTGGAGCGAGTGGCCCTGGGAACGCCCTCGGAACGAGCATCTAACTCCGAAGATGCTGTTGCCCTTGGAGGTGTTGTCGCTCGATCCAGCGCCTTTCTCGGCCTCCTTCTCGAGGGGCACCCTGCAGAGGCAGGCGCGACCAAGCACTGCGCCATCCGTGCCTGCTGCGCACCGTCGCCGGACCCGGTCGGCAGACCCGGCCGCTGCGGCACAGGCCGCGCCAGCATCCCCAGGCAGCGCCGAGGGCATCTCGTGGCCGGCGTCCCGATCCTTTGCCCCCCCTCGTTTTGCGGTGCGATTTCTCGGGGTAAGGAAGAGGACAGGGACAGGAGCAACCGCGGCGCCACCAAGGTACACACTTGCACTCCGCGGCAGAAGGCGGCGGCCGCCGCAGCCCTGCATTAGCGCGGGGGCGGAGCTCGCGAGTGCGGGAAACGCTGGGGAGACTGGCAGGCGCCACGGCCCCGTACCTGGCAGGGCAGGCAGCAGCGCTTGGCTCGTGATCAAGCTCCGGCGGAAGTCGAAGTTGTGGGAGCCCGATTCTGATTATTCGCGATAGTGCCCGAGACCGGTGACCAGCCCTGGCCCAACACTCCTCCCCCTCCTGGTCACGTCACGATTCGCGATGGCGACGTATGGGAAGTAGGAGGAGGAGGATGAGGAGGAGGAGGAGGAGGAGGAGGAGGAGGATGAGGAGAAAGTCCCGTCTCAGGCCCGGGGCGGGCGGGACGCCTTAGAAGAGAACGTTGGCCTCACTGCTGAACGTCAGCATTCCCCAATGCAGCCAGCGCGAATCGTGACGTGACCAGCCTCCTCCCCCCCTCCCCCCGGTCACGCCTGTTATCGCCAGAGGGTTCAAACAACTGTCTCTTGGCCCAGTCGTGGATGCCATCCTGAGCGCAGCGGGCGAAGCAGTGGAAGGCGCCGCGGCACCGCGGCACCGCATGCCTCTGGCACCCGGCAGGGAGCAGCCCTTCGTTCGCACCCCTCGTGCAGCCGCAGCGGGCGGCACACGAGCCGCACGAGCCCTGAGCCTGGCAGTGGAGGCGGGCATGCCTTCGGCCAGGGCGACGGAGAGAGCGCCTGCCTTCGCATCGCTACCAGAGAGGAGGAGAGGGCGTGGGGAAGAAGAGAGGGAGGAGTGAACTCGTGTCTTTGCGGCTGGGAGGTAGGGGGGACAAAGCCAATGGACCTGTGGCTGCCGTTGCCCTGCCTGCCACAACACTCTCTGGGGGCAGCGAAGTTCCAGTGCCGCTGCTCCCCTGACCTCTACTGGGGTGCGTTCTGACCAGAACCTCGAGGATCATCCAGCCGAGGCGACGAGGGCGCTGCAGGACGGGCAGCGGTATAGATGTCTGCTTCCTCCTCTGTTGCTTGCCCGCGACGGAGCAGGAGGGCGAGAGCGCAACCTCTTCTCCCGCCCCCGCGGCTTCTCGAGGGGCCTCTGCCGGGCGCCGTCCGCAATGGCAGCGGCCAGCGGGCTGGTCTCCAGGGACGCGGCGCTCGCAGTGGAAGCTGCGCGCGGCAGCAGCCCTTGCGGCTGCGCCTGCTCCGCCTGCGGCCGGGGCAGGACGGGAGGGGGGGGGGGGGCGAGGACGGGAAGGAGGAGCAGGATGACAGGTTGAGGCGAGGAGGAGGAGGAGGAGGAGGAGGAGAAGGAGGAGGAGGAGGAGGGGAGGAGGATGTCGCGGAGACGGAGACCACCAGTGCCAGTCTGGCTTGAACATGAGGGGCCACCACTGCTGCCGACGCCGCAGCCCACCCCACGATTGCAGCGCAATGCAGCAAAAAGACGGGGGCGCTTCTGCGGCGAAAGGGGGGCCTTCCGCACTCGCGTGTCCCAGCTGAGGAGGTGCTCTTCATCCGTCCTCTTATCATCCTCCCCTGCCCGCATCGGTGGTCTGCCAAACGCGGGAACTGCCAGAGGCGCTTTCGTTTGCGCGTTCAAAAGGTAGGCTCACCGACCAGCGGAGCAGTTCTTGTGTCGAGCTGATGCCACAGTCCAAGTCGGCGTTGTTGAGGCTTCCGATGGGGTCATTGCATGCACCTAGGTGGTGGATGGGCTCGCACCTATCATGACTTACTTTAACATTCGAATCTCAAGTTTTGTTCTGTCATTCGGATGTAAAGTTGTGGTTCTGCAGCGCATGTATGTTCTATGGCAATGTGCACATCAGGCCTGTATTCACTCCAGGCCTCAGTTTAGCCTCCCCCATACCAGCGCGAGCCAATTCTATTCAAAGGGTTCATATGGTTTATGGTCTCAGTACTGAACTCACATAGCCTTACGATGATCGAATAATGGTTCGGCCGGCTGTTGAGGTGATGCCATTTCGCTTCGCGATAAGTCCACTCCATTTCATTCCATTCCATTCCATTCCCGTCCCCGCATCGGTACTCCGGGTATGCGGCAACCATGTTAATTGCTCGGCCTCCAGCGAACCATTTTGGAGACCGCATCGCACCCGACCAGGCGGGCGGGCGGGACTGCAGCCTACGGGCACCGAGTGTCCAGTCCCAGGTCGCAAGTGGAATAGGAGGGCGGGAGCTGGAGGAAAGAGGCGGGGGGCGAAGAAGCGGAGAACGAGGAGAGCGGATGAGCCGGAGCAGGAGTGGGACCGTGATGAATGATGATGGCCCGCGTGTCCTGGGTGAGGATCGTGTCGACGATGACGATGACGACGACGATGGTGATGTTAATGAGACTGATGATGAAGATGACGATGGCGATGGCGATGGCGATGCTGGTGGTGATATTGATGACGATACGCATGATGGTTGTGGTGATGCTGACGATGACGATGCCGGTGACGATTGTCGCGATGGTGATGGTGATGACGGTGATGATGGGGACGCTGATGATCTCACCGTGGCGATGAGCACCATGATTCTGACGAGTCCGGCGATGGCGAGCATGGTGGCCACCATGAGGACGCCTGACGACTGTGGTCGACATCACGATGCAGAGAATTCGGATGAGGGTGAGGAGCCGCAGCTTACCAGCATGGAACATATCCCTATCCCTATGCTGGGCACCTCCTCATCACGATGCTAATCTTAGGGATTCCCTTATTCCCAACCATCCTGTGGTGTTGGGTCCTCGTTTTGAAGAGACGGTGCCCCGCGTCCTCCTCTCCTCTCCTCTCCTCTCCTCTCCTCTCCTCTCCTCTCCTCTCCTCTCCTCTCCTCTCCTCTCCTCCCCCCTCCTCCCTCCTCCCCCTCCCACACCCATTCTGGCACACCCCTCACACGTTTCGTGGCCCCATAGGGAGCTCCACCGAAGGCCCCAGTGGTTGCGCTCGCATGCGGTTCCACCCCCCATTCTGGCACACCCCTCACACGTTTCGTGGGCTCCACCGAAGGCCCCAGTGGCTGGCACACCCCTCACACGTTTCGTGGCCCCATAGGGAGCTCCACCGCCCCATATGGGAGCTCCACCGAAGGCCCCAGTGGCTGCGCCGCATGCGGTTCCACCCCCCATTCTGGCACACCCCTCACACGTTTCGTGGCCCCATAGGGAGCTCCACCGAAGGCCCCAGTGGCTGCGCCCGCATGCGGTTCCACCCCCCATTCTGGCACACCCCTCACACGTTTCGTGGCCCCATAGGGAGCTCCACCGAAGGCCCCAGTGGCTGCGCTCGCATGCGGTTCCACCCCCATTTCGGCACACCCCTCACACGCTTCGTGGGTGGCTCCATGGGGAGCTCCACCGAACGCCCCAGTGGCTGCGCTCGCATGTGGTTCCCCCCCCATTTCGGCACACCCCTCACACGGTTCGTGGCCCCATAGAGAGCTCCACCGAAGGCCCCAGTGGCTGCGCTCGCATGCGGTTCCACCCCCTTTTTCGGCACGCCCTTCACACGTCTCGTGGCCCCATAGGGAGCTCCACCGAACGCCGCAGTGGCTGCGCTCGCATGCGGTTCCACCCCCCATTTCGGCACACCCCTCACACGTTTCGTGGCTCCATAGGAGCTCCACCGAAGGCCCCAATGGCTGCGCTGGCATGCGGTTCCACACCCCATTCTAGCACACCCCTCGCACGTTTCGTGGCCCCATAGGGGGCTCCACCAAGGGTCCCAGTGGCACTGCCCGCTTGCGTCCGCCACCACCCAGCACAGCCCTTGTTCCCTGCGCTTCACCCACCCAGAACAGCGCTTCGTAGCCCTATAGGGAGCTCCACCAAAGGTCCCAGCGGCACCGCCCGCATGCGTCCGCCACCACCCTGCACAGCCCTTGCTCCCTGCCTGCGTTTCACCCACCCAGTACAGCGTTTCGTGGCCCCATAGGGAGCTCCACCGAAGGTCCCAGTGGCACCGCTCGCATGCGTCCGCCACCACGCAGCACAGCCCTTGCTGACCGCGTCTCACCCACCCAGTACAGCGTTTCGTGGCCCCATAGGGAGCTCCACCGAAGGTCCCAGTGGCACCGCCCGCATGCGTCCGCCACCACCCAGCACAATTGCGGCATTCACAACTGCATATGGTTGGGTCCTTCGCCAGGCTAATTTTTTGAAGGCGAATCCCTAAGATTGTCATCGCCTTTTGGCGTGTCAATCTTAAGGATAGGGATACGTTCGAGGCTGGTAAGCAGCGGAGCGTTCGATAAGGATACGTTCGATAGGGATACGTTCGAGACGTTCGAGGCTGGTCAACATCACGATACAGATAATTCAGATGATGACGAACCAACAACACACACTAGGGGGATCGGAGAGGGCTATGGGTGCGTGTTGTCGGATGGGGGCCCCCGCTCGAACGGGAGCGTTCCCCAGGGTCCGACAACCCGCACCCATACCCATAGCCAGTCCTCCTCTCAACGACCCCCTTCTGGGTATGGGTGTGCGTTGCTCGTTCGTCAGATGAGGGCGAGGAGCCGCAGCGCAGCGGCGGCTGCGAGCGCGAGGCCTGCGCCGGGTCCGGGGCCGCCGTGGTCGTCGCGGAGGGCGCGGCCGCGGCGGTGGTGAGCGGCGCCGCGCCCGCGCCTGGGGAGCCCCGGGGGGGAGGCCCCCTCCTCTGGCCATCGCTCGGACGTCCAGTCCCTGTGCTTTCTTTGGTTTCGTGCGGGTTTTTTCGCCAAATGACCAAGGATGCTCCCCTCGAAGGTCCTCGCCGAAAAAAATGCACATGTCCGAGCGATGCCAAGTCCTCCTCCTTCCAGCTCCTGGCCCTCCCCCCTCCCTTGAAATCCTGGCTTCGTTTTGTGTTTGTTGCGTCCGTCGTTTTCTCGCACAACTTCGGGCCGAGGGGCCCTCACTTTATCGATGCGGCTGTCACGATGCCGCTGCATGATTGGGTCCAGGGCTCTGGTCGCGACTTTTCACGGTGTTGCACTTTTGATTCGCGTCGTCGGACCTCGGGTCCCTTCTCCGCCTCCCGCCGCTCCTCCGCATCCTCCCGCCTTTCCACTCTCCTCCCCCTCCTCCCTTCCCCACCCCCCCTCCTCCTCCTCCTCCCTCCCTCCAGAAGGTCCCTTCCCCTGCTCCCTCCCTCCCTCCCTCCCTCCCTCCCTCCCTCCCCCCCCCCGCCTCCTCCTCCTCCTCCTCCTCCTCCTCCCTCCCTCCTCCTGCTCCCTTTCCTCCCCCCCCCCTCCTCCTCCTCCCTCCCTCCAGGAGGTCCACGAGCGAGGCCGCCTCCGGGAACACCTGCGGTCGGGCTCCTCGGCTTGGCGCGCCGTGGCGCCAGCCCCCCGCGATGCGCAGTGCCCTGCGAGCTGGTAGCGCCAACGCGTGCTCACGAGGCCATTCGGTGCCACGCAAGCGACGTGGCATGGGTCGGCACAGGCTGCGCGCTATCGGTGAGGACTGAGCGGGGTAAGCACACACACACACACACGTTCAGTCACGCAAGCACACGCGCACACTCACACACGCTCAAGCACACGTGCAACACACATGCACAGCACACAAGCACAAACACACACACAACACACAGCACATGCCCAACACAACACACACACACAAACACTCAAACACACGCACACACACACACGCGAACACGTACAAACACACACGAGTACACATACGCACATCAACGCATAAACACACATCAACGCACACACACAACACACACACTCACAAACGCACACACACACACACACGCACACACGCGCACGCAGACACAAACGGACACACAGACAGGCATACGTACAGACACGCGTATACACACAGACACACATAGACACACACACAGACACACGCACACGCACACAGAGGCACACACACAAACACACACACACGCACATACCCTCAGAGACCTGGAGGCCCTGAGGGGCACGGCCAGGAGGCCTTGGGAGCACATCGACATATCGCATGTATTCCAGAAGGGGACGTCGGACATCGAACAGTAGGTGTCAAGCCATATTCTGTTCTCTTTCTTGGCCAGTCTGGCTTCAGGTCTGGTGCGTGTTTGGCCTTCATCGAGGCGGCGACCAGGGGCGCGTGCGCTCAACCCTGGTCGGCATGGCACTTGATCGCAGGAGCTTCGATGGTGTTTACGTGGAGCTGAGCTGACAAAAGAGAGACACATACTCTTTTGGTACTTCGTTCAGCTGTCGCTGACTCCGTCACCTGTACGGCATACTACCTCATAACGTCGAGCTGGCTCCCACAAGCGACTGCGCGTCATGACTCAACCATTTCATCTTTCCTCCGCGGGAGTGGAGTGGCCCCGTCCCTCGAAAGCAAGAACATGGTTCGAGAAGAACGTGCGGCAAGTGGTTCCAGATATTGTGCACCCGACTGCAGCAAGTGTTATGAATTTCAAGCAGTGAGTTATTCGCTGTTTGTCCAATTAGATTTGCCATCCTTGGGCATGGCGATGCATGTTGCACTTCGCCAGATGTTTCCGATTCACTTCCAGCAAAGGGTCGCCTGCCCCATGGTGGCCACCATCGTGTTCGAACTGCTGGTGGCAAGCGGTGTTCTGCGACTCTGGCCGGCGGTTCAAAACCGTCGGATACCAAGATGGGCTTGCCGTATCTTCAGGAGTTTGCCAGCCACAACCCACCGAGGTATATTGGGGTTTGATGAAAATGGCTCGTGGAGGCGCTGGAGCTTGGGGAAATGTGCGCATCTTCATAACCGGCAATCTACATAAGATGATCGGCATCACCTTCATACATTGGCAAAGCCAATCTTACCAGAAAGTGCAACACGCTAGGGCTTCCAACTCCCTTGCCTGAACACGTCAAAACTCTTCTCCACCCCTAATTTCGGGAAGGCCAGCTACCGCGATCTTCCAAATTTGATGAAGACGTTAGGGTGTTTGGCATCCCTTCCAGTTGCAGTATGCGTAGATGAGGCGAGGACCTCTTCTCTGGAGGCTCTTCTGATTCGTCTTGGGAACAAGAGGGTGACCGAGCTGACCAGTATGTGGTGCAGGGGGGCGCCAGAACCAAGGTGGGTCGGTGCTCCAAGGGTCGGTGACGCCGACCACCGCCGAAGATCCGCGGACCACGAGGCATCACTTAGATTTGGGCTCAATCCCCGTTTCGGTCTACAATATCAAGGTGGGTCTCGAATCGCGGCAAAAACAACTGAAGTCAATGAAGAAGCATCGTTGGTTGGGTCATTTTGCATTTGCAACATTGCGTTCCCATATCCAACGGGTTGAGAGGATGCGTACGGGTGTGATCGGCCCGATCGATTTGTTCGATGACCGCTATTACAATATGTGTGTTGGCTTTCTGTGCGACGTACAGGCCATTCATTCGGCTTCCAACAACAAATCCTCCGCACAGAGTTGCGAAGTTCTTGCCCAATGTAGACAATAAGGTTCCCACATATGTTTGAGGAGGAGCTCCGCAGGCAGCAGCACGTATGTTCTTGGCAAAGGTGCTTCGTGGACTCCAACTGCCACCAATTCAAGTGGCGCCATTTGGCATCCTGCATGCTAGAACGGGGAGCACCAGCACAGTCAAACATCTGGCTCGGCGTGCACTTTTTCGCCTTGGTCTTCAGCCAGCTCGAGATCATACCCTTGAGAAACTGAGGGTGCAGGTTGGCAAGTGCGAGAGACGAGCTGGCACCATCAACGCGCAGCAAGCAACGGCATCGTTTTCGTCCAGCATGTCGGGATAGGTTCATGCTGGTTGGTCCGTCTCGCAGCCACCCCAAGCCTGAGGGCGGTGGTTGGGCCATGGCGCCTTCCCAAGTGGCCGCGAGGTTCTTCGACGTGGCGACACTGTAAGGCAGCATGTTTACGGTGGGCGTCAACGATGCGTTTACCAACACATGTGGGAGGATATTGGTTCGGATGGTGGCAGCAAGCTCATTGGCACCACTAACAACCACCATCGCCACCAACATGATGGGATGAACATGAACGTGTACTTCGGCAACATCAAAGCGGTGACCGTGCACAAGTTGAGGATGACTGCGATGCATCCAAGGTGTGAGCTTTGAACACAATGTAAGTCGGTCTTGGTTTGTCTGAGGCAGCGTTTCACGATCATGGGTCGGCGATTCAGAAGGATTAGTGTAGCAAGGGTGGCGCAGTTGGGGTATGCAAAGGCTTACCTGGGGCTGCTAGCTTTTCTTCGTCGCCATGCAGCGAGGCCCGGACGTCAACTTGTCCTCCTCGCTTTTTCGCTCATCAAAAGCAAGTGTCACGCTGATGACGCCAGCCCAACGTATACCAAGCAAGGCCACAGCCATTGGAGCCGTATCTAAGAAATCAAACATACTCATCTTGCCTCGGGGCGGAAGATGGTCGCGCGAGGGGTCAGATCAGTAGCTGAATGCAGCCATAGATCAGTCGCGCGAGCTTTTCGACATTAGCTACACACGAAAGCACATGGGGAAGACTACGTTCAGGCCTGCGTGCTGGGATGTGTCCACAGCGGTGCCAGAGGTGCCAGAAAAGTATGCGTCCAGGCTTGCATGTTGTGACGACCGATGTTGATCAGGCGTTCGAATCGCTCGCGTCCTCGTCGATATTGTCAAATTGGGACCTGTTTGAGCAAGCCTACATGTACGTGTCGACGTTCGGGACCTCAAGACTCCTCAGAAATAGGGGGAAGCTGTTCTTAGCCGAGCACGGAGTCCGAGCGAAGCGATCTGGGCGAGAACGGTGGTCGCTGTCGCTGAATCTGCCACTTGTGACTCCTGCGGCTGCTTCGAGGCTGACTTCAGCTGTGCTTGGGGACATGGTGGACGAGATGGCTAGGATGGCGATTGGTGGAATGATTTTGTCGGCGGCGGTTTCGTTTCGGCTTGGGGCGGAGTAGCTAGTCGACAGATTTGCGTGGGAGCGACATGCTGGGCAAGGTTTTTATTTCCATGGGGATCCCTGGGAAGAGATCAACTGGAGCCGATATGTAGATGACATGCTCGCGGGTAGTGTTACCCGTTGCTGTGTCTGCGCGATATAAAGTTTGGACTAGATTTTGCCCAGAACCATTGAGCGACGTGCTTCGGTCGGATGATGATCCGAAGGGTGGTTTCGAATGGTTGGACAGGTGTCTCAAAGGACACTGAGGGGCATCTTGCCGGGGAAGCTTGCGACGTTACGAAGTCGCGGATCTGGGGTTCTGTGTGTTTCCCAGGACTTGCAATTGCTTGGATACCCACCTTGAATCATTGCGTGGATACCCACCGTCGATTCCCTGGCCCACTCCCTTCCCAAGATTGCTGCTGTTCGAACGGCCCGAAGGTCTCTCAAGGCGCGGCTCCGATATCGTCTGTGCCTTTCATCTTTTGGGCGAGAGGGGCCAGCATGATCTAGCGATGAGCATGCAGCCTCGAGGCCAGAAGTGGGAGCCGTGGTGGGGGTGCGGCGGAGCGACTCGTCAGCAGTGGCAACTTCGAGTTCAGGGCCGAGATCGAGATCGTGCTCGTTCGAAGGGCAAGGACACGCGCAGGCGCCGTCGTCATGATTAGTCCAGTTCGTCATCGGATGGCGGGCACCAGACGCGTCTCGAGAACGCGCAAAAGTCCCACCAGCCCTTTAGGGCATGAGTGGTTTAGAGCGTTTGCCCTTCTTCCCTTCGGGACGGGCTTGCCCTTCCCCCTAATTACCCCTTTTCCCCTGGACCTGGACGGGGGGGGCGCGAGGGCTCAGAGCGTCCAAGATGGCCTTGGCGAGAAGGCCACGATCATTGATTTGACTGAGGTGTTGGCCCAATTTGGGCCTCCTGGGGGGGGGGCGCTTATTGAGTACCCTGCCTTCTCTGATCGAGCTCATCCAAGCTGGCCCCCAAGGCCCCCAAGGCTCCCAGGAGTGCCCCAAGAGTCGCCCAGGAGGCCCCGCAGAGGTCCCCCAGAGACATCCAAGAAGCGCCCGAGAGGCCACAACAGGCTCCCGCGAGGCACCCAAGAGCTCCCCAAGATGCCCCCAGCGCCGCCGAGAGCTCCCCGAGAGGACTCTGAGAGACTCGCGAGAGACATCCGAAGAGACTCCGAGAGGCATCCAAGAGGCCTCTCTCCTTCTGCTCGCCCTCCTCCTCCTCCTCCTCCTCCTCCGCATCCGCATCCTTCACCCGCAGCTCCAGCACACACCTAAATTTAGAGGTGCGTGTCCACCGGGGCTGGGCGTATCGCTGCCGATGGTCGTCCCCTGCTGGAAGGCGTTAGAGCCTCCACGAGCCTGCGGACAAAATGCCCGGAGGGAGGTGGGAGGACCAGGAGTAGAAGGACCCTAGCCTCCAATATCTCGGCTTTTCCAATGCAAAGTCCCTTGAGCTCCAGACCCTTTCCCCAGGTCCGGGCTTTCATCCCGAGTAAAATTTGAACGGTCCCTGGGCCTGGTGAGGGAGGGGCCCCAAACACCTCCCGTCGTGAGCACATCCCAACGAGTGGGGGGGGGGGATGAGGAGAATAACAAAATGCGACGCCGAACGCGATGACGGGTCTGCTTCTTCTTCCCCGAGCACCGGGCATCGCGGGGCGCGCGGACGCCGCGGGGGGCGCCAGGGGCGCGGGCGCCGCGGCCGTGGCGGCCGCTGCAGCGACCTGGAAGTCCCTGCCGTCCTGTGGGGGCGCGGGCCAGAGGCTGGAAGGGAGCCCCCTGGAGGTCCCAAGTTATGTGTCCTTTGTTCTCAAGGTTTTCGCACATTTGGGGGGCTCCTTGGGGGTGCTCGTCGCCACGGCTGAGCCGCCCCGAGATTCTGGCCAGAACGCAGCCCATGACAACTCCCGGGGCCTATGTCTGAAGCTCGGACCCATGACTTTCTCGCAACAGGAGGTTTTCGGCAGCTGTGAACCCTCATTGGGTCTCGAGGCCGTGAAGAAACGGCTCAGGATGAAGACCCGATTCCCGATGAAAGAGTCCAGACCTCAGAGGGTCCGCGTCATGAGAAAACACGACGTCGGGGGTATTGGGTCGCGCGCGCGGTCCATCGCGATTCGGCCAGATTCGGGAGGGATTTTTTTGGGGGCCACAGTTGGCCTCACCGTTTGTAAGGGCCCCCTCCCCAAGCCTGGGCCCGGGCCTCCTTCGCAACGATCCTGGCACGGATCTCCTGGAGGCCTGGGAGGGGGAAGCACTTGCGGGCGTTTGTCGCGGCCGGAACGCCAAGGTATATGCTCGCGCATCGGCTCTCGTGATGGATGCTTCGGGCTCGGCGCGCGACGCGGGGGCGTCGCGCTTCGGATGCAAGCCGCTCCGCAGCCTGCGCAGCGCAACCTTCCTCGCGCTGCTCCGATCCTCCTCGCAATTCGGCCGTGGACACTTGGCAGCCACCTTGCGCAGCCGATTCTGCGCATAGTACCCACAGCACAAGCAAAATAACAGAGGCGTTGGCTCGTCCGCGACCTGCGTGCTAGCCAAAGTGCGCCCGTGCTCGGGCGCAAGCCAGAGCAGCTCCTGAGGTCTTTCGGCCAGGGGTCCGCCATGAAACTTCAAGCTGACCAATTCTGTCGGGCACGCCATCAAAGCGCATTCTGCGGGCGCGCGGGGGGCGCCACACAAACGTCCGTTGCGCCTCCGCACCCCCGCCCATCCATGGCGTAGGTCCGAGAGGCAGGGCGCGCAACTGCAACGACAACCGCGTTCGCGCCCGCCCCCTGATCTTCGATCGAACAGTCGCAGGACGGGCGGAAAACACCCTAAGAAGGACCCCCGCCCAGGAACATCTAGACGGGTAGGGGTGGCGGGGCTCAAAACTTTGATGGCCCAACAACTCGAGCACAGAAGGCCCCGCGACCAAGACCCCCTGGTGCGCCAACCTTCGGCACGCTGAACAACCTTTCGCTTTTGGTCGCGCGTGGGAGGTCTGGCGTGGGCGGTCCTGAAGGAAATCGGCAAAACGGCCGCGACGAGCCTCGCCGCCGTTTCGACTCTCTCGATCGAGCTCTCGACTGCTTCCCACTGGCCTTGTGGCGCTCGCGGGTGCATTAGAATCGCTTGCTTAGCCTCGGCGTCGGCTCTCCAGTCAGCGTGTCCTCTCGATCGTTCAGAATCATCTAACATACTGAATACAGCGAAGTCTCGATGTGCTGGGGTCCACACAGCTGGGGCATACGCATCTCCGACCATGTGCTGCAACGCTCCGCGCCTGAGTCCTGCGTGCGTACGTTTATGACAGAGCTGCACATGTGGGCTGCCGTTGTGGGGCTTTACTGAGTTCAGGCAGTCACTGCAAAGTAGATATCTATACCTGGCGTCGATAATCGGAAGAAGGGCTAGCTGCAGCTGCTCTGCTGCCTGGCTCGTCTGCGGCAAGCTCGGCCACGCGGAGCACTTCGCAGCGGCGACCTGCTGGCCATCCCGTCCAAAGCATACCCGCGACAATGGTGCGCGTGATATTTCTGATCTGGCACGCAAGACCCACTCCCCGCCACGTTCCGATCCCTGCTGCCGAGGTCGATCAGACAAGCTCGGCTCGTGCTGGTCCGACTGAAGTGACCAGCCCTTGAGAGGGTGCGCGAACTTGAGACCAACGTGGAACTGGTCGCCCCCTTCCCTGGCCTCCTGGACGATCCCCCCCCCCGTCACCTCCGCACTCCCCCTGGCTGTCTGCGCCTCAGGACTGCCGCAACACATAGATCCTGTGGGCGACTGAATCAGGTTACCCGCGCATGGGGCGCGCCCCGGCCGAGTGGTACCCATTGTTCTGCCTTCTGTCCCCGGTCCAAACTCGGTCACAGAAAACCGTTGCGGCACGGTGCTTGCCTTGCGCGTGAAGACCCATACCTCGGAGTTTGGGCTGGGTTATCCTACGCAGTGGCTCCGCGCACGCGCGGCCCCTTTCTTGCCAGTTCAGCTTCGCGGCCAGGGCCCGCTCGCGGTGCCCCTGCGCGCCTCCCTCCAGGAGGTTGCGCAGCATAGCAGGGGGGGGTCCTCGACCCCCTATCATCGACCCAGTCGAGGGGGGAAGTGGATTTCCACCCGCTCCGAAACAACGGCGAAAACATCCCGCTGATGGCCCCCCTCGTCTTCCCCCATTTGCAACCCGCGAGTCCTCCCTAGGAGGCAGACATCCACATGCTGCGCAGCTCGGGCAGCGCGGGCGCAGCGTGTCCTGGCGCGGTCGCAGCGCTCCGCGCCGCCGCTGCCCAAGCCAATGCTGGCGCCGCCATGTTCCTCCAAACCGGGTCACCTAAGAGGGCCGCCTTGGCCGTGGTGGATATTCCGTCGTGACGCGGCGCCTGATGGGGCAGCGGTATCCTTTGCGCGCGCGTAAGTTCGGCGTCGGACACGCTGACCACCGCATCGCCGAAACTCACAACTGGGTTGGTGCCCGCCGCGTGTATCTCCCCCATGCGGTACTTATCCCATGGTAAGGTTTCCCTATGGCGCCGCAACCTGCGGTGCCTGCGTAACAGATCGACCGGGTTCGCCTTCCTCCTGGCCAGGGCTTGCTTGCTCTCCCTTTTGGCGCATGGCGCAAGATCCACGCCGAGAGAGACCGCGCGGGTCTCGGCCGAACCCGCCGGCGTTCCGAGCCTTCGCCCTACACGTTGCGACAAATCAGGGGCGGAGCCAAACGTCATGAGTCTGTCGGCAGCTGGCCCGACTCCGAGCTCTTCCTTAAAGACTTATTGTCATGTCCTCGGCCGCTCTGCCAAAGGATCGAACGCCGTGCTCCGTCGCGCCGAACGCACTGGCCGCGTCGCCATCCACGCGCGGCACCAAATCCTCATCCAGGCTCCGAGTGATGAGCCCGTCGAAGGGCTCAAGCGCATGCACCTTCGCGCAGATGCCATTGAAGCACGGCCCCGCTGGCAGCCTGCACCCGGCGCGCATCGGCGCCGGGCTGCGGCCCGCGCCCGCGCGCAATATCCGAGGTCCACGCCGAAAACGAAAGGAAACCTGGGCCGTGATAGGGGGCGGGCCCGCTCAGAGATCTGTCTCCCAGGGTGGCAAGCCTAAAGAACTCGTGATACTTGGCGCCGCCCCAAGAGAAGCCCCCCGTGCCGCCCCCTTCGGCCACCTTGGCCTCCGCTCTGACCGCCTGCTTCCAAATCTCCGCCCCCGCCGACTTCCCCGCCCCGAACGCCCGATACTTACGGGGAAGCCCGTCGTCGATGGAGGGGGGCAGCTCCACCCTTCCCATCTTCTCCCAGGGCCGCGCAGGTGACGCGCGCAAGCGCGCGAGCCTCCGTCCCCCGCTCGGTTTCCTCAGAAAGGGAAAAAACATCCAATGCCGGGCCTCGGGGTGCAATCTGATCTTCCCAATCGTCTGGGCGAGGCAGCTCCAGACTTCCGGCCCAACACCAGACATCGCGGCAAACTGCCGCACGTGCACCCCGTCGAGTAAGGTCGCCGCGCGCGGTGAGAACGCCCTACTGCCACCGCGGATATCATCGGGGGCCATCCTCTCAAAACAGCTCCGATCCAGGACCTCCAGAGGCTCTGGCACGGCAGATGCTGGCTTCGCTCGCGAGCAGCTTGCGAGGGTCTGCCGTGGAGTTCCCAGGGGCCGACTCAACCACCGCAAGCGCCCATTCACTTTGGTCACGGGTCAACTTGTGCATCCTACGGGCTGACCCCGGCAGCGCTTCATCTTGCCGCTGTTCCCAGCTCATCTTCGCTGTATTGTCGAGGCCCGAGCGTGCCTCAGTGAAATCAGCATCTCAATCTTCAAGCGCCCGGGTGCAGCGATCTATCTAACCCGGGAGATATCGCGCGCGATGAGGCCAAGACGCCGCAAGCGCGCATTCTTCTCGGACGGATGGGGTTAAGCCGCGCCGCAAGCCTTCAGCTTCAAACTGCCATGCACCAAATTCTTGCCAGCCTCGAGTCCAGCGCCGTCAAGCACATCATTCCCGTCGGTGCGTGTACTAGTCTGCTGGAGGTCTCTCAAGTTCTGCTAGGGCCAAATCCACCCTTCCCACGCTAAAACCCCATCCTCTGGTTTCCTCTTCGGAGGGGAGGAAACATGAACCCACTTGGCACGCGAGGGTCTGCGTCTAAGGCCTTTGTTGTTCAGTTCCTGGCCTGTTTTTCGTGCTCGGCATCCATGGCATCCGAAAAAACGCTTCCAAGCTTCGTCGAGCAGGGTCTGAGAAAACTGCGCAGACTCCCGGCTCGCGGCCTGGTTGGCCTCCTCGGCCAAAGCGCGCGCCAACCCTCAGTCCTGCTGTTCAGGTCTCGGTCCGAACGGGGCCTCGCGCGGAATGCGTTGGTGGGTCAGGTAAACAAAACAAGCTGTTCGAGGTGGATCGCGCCTTTCTTGAAACGCAACTGCGCTGGCTGATGAGGACGCTTCGGCCATGTCTTCTCATCCTTGGTACTGTCGGCCAACGCGGCCGCGGCCGCTGAGGCCGGGAAAATGTCGATCCGCTCACGGGCCTTCGTTGTGTCGGGGGGCGGGCGCGTCAACTTTCCGGGTCAAGCCTGAACGCCCCAGGTCAGCAACCCCAACGGGCCCCAAACATGGCCATGTGGTGCCCCGGCATCATTGCACCCACCATCTTAAGGATCTCCAGGTCTCGTTTTGGGATGCTACCGCGCAGTGCGCACGCGCGCATCCAGCAGGGGTGGGCGGCCACTGCGGCATATCAATCATCGCGAACATCAGACGTCTCTCCACGAACCCTCCTCTCGGCAGGCGCAGTTGCCGCCAAAGTCTCATGCTCGAGCGCGCAAGGATAGCCGCTCCCCCGACGCCTGGTCACCAAGATGAGGATCAGAAGGGTGCGCCTTCCAATCGCCAAGGGTTTGGCCGTCTCGCCCCCGACGCCTGCTAGCGCGATTCCAATCTCCCGCGCATGCAGAACCAGGGCAGGCGGCCGAGCCAGTCGGTCAGAGAGCGCCCCCCAGCTGGTTCAATTGTAGGACTCACACACAAATCTGAAAATCCTTGGCCCTGGGGCCATCGCCGATCATGGGCGGGGGGCAGCCTAACCCCATGGAGGAATATTATAATCAGAACACAGTGGAACGCCGACAGGGGGGTTGCCAGGCCACTTATCATGCTTAACCTACTCGCAGGCGACCGACTCTCGAGATCGGCTGAGCTCGCCACTCCTGTCGACCCTGGTGGTCGCTTGTTGCCGAAAATCACCTGCTTCAGGCGAAACCTGCTGCTGTGCCTTCCTGAGGAAGGCTCTCAGAGACGACGTTCTCCCGGACTCCCGTCAGGACGACGGCGCCCCCTCTCCCGAGCCAGGTCTTGGCCCGCTTGAACTCGCTGCCACCAGGGCCTCCATAATGGCCCTCTTGTCGCCCCCATGTGCCTCCCAGAACTCCTCTGCATCCTCGGTGCCCTGGAAAGCGTCGGCCATATCAGCGTCGCCGGTAGAGCCGCCATCATCACTCGAGCCCGCCATCTTCTGCTTCTGGCCAGCCCTGGACTTGGCGAGCAGCTCCTGGAATTGTATGAACGCATACATCTCGAAGGGTACTTTGACTTGGTCAATACCTTCCAGCAGCTCATCAAGAATCGTGAAAGCGAAACCACCGCCACCACCCATGAGAGGTCACTGCTTGATCTGCACACGCGTGTCATCAACTTCTCGTTCGAAGGCAACCTTTTGAGCCGCCAGCTCATCGCGTTTAGCTGTGGCCTCCTTGATTGAATTCTCCTGTGCTTGTATTTGTCCCTCGAGTCTGCTGAGCTGTCCCTGCTGGCGAGCAAGATTGTGCCCGAGGTTGGTCTGCTGCGTCACGTCACCCTTGCCCTGCTCGATCTGTTTGCGAACCTCTCGAATCTGGCCTTCCAGATCCGATCTGGCCGCCACCATGTAGTCGCCCTTTCAGGCCTTGATGGCAGTCTCCAGCTCGCGAGTTTTAATTGCCAACTTGTCGTCAGTGTCGCTGCTGCCGTTAACCTTGGCACCATCAGCATGCCGCGCACTTGCGGCTGACGACTGCGCCTTGGGCACTGACTGCTTGGTTAGCGCATCCATCTGCTTCTGCATGGCTGCCAGCATCTTCTTGAGCTGATCCTGTTGCCGTCCACCCATTGCCTTGACACTGTCGTTGCCACGAGCACCCCCAGCACGAAGGTGTGATTTATGGCCGTCGAGATTATTCGGTTTCTGTAGGGCGCGTCCTGGTGCAACCGCTTCGCATCTGCACCGCGCTTGAAAAAACCCGATTCGACGTGGGTCCGCAGGTCTGACAGCACCACAACAAGGAGCCGGGGACCCTTGACGGCATCGATCATGCTGCGCTCCAACAAGAGCTCACAAAAAAAGAGGGAAACCCTCACTCGTCCGAGCCATAAAGACCCGCACCAGCTACTACCGCTCTGAAGAAGCTGGTGCAAACCCAAAACCTGGGCCAAAACGGCTAGAACCGGGAGGTAAGAAGCCGGCTTGGACTGCTTGGGCCCGATCAAGCCCCGTATCAAGCTAGACTGAAAAATGTTCAACGGGATTAAGCAGCACATTTAGCTAGACATGGCCAGACAAGGGCTAAGGACATACCAAGGAAGGGAAGCACTGACTACAAGGTTCCAGACATTGCAGCCAGACGAGGGCGGGGGCAGGGCTTTTCCTCCTCCTCCTCCTCCTCCTCCTCCTCCTGAATCTTGCCGTCGCACCTCACGGATCCAGGGCGGAGGTCTCTCAAAGTCTCCGGCACGTGCTTGGCCGTGGGGCCCCTGGAAACGCATCCGCAGGCCACCAGGGACCCCCATGGGACGCCTGGGTTTCTGGGGCGGCACTCAAACTCACCTTCTTCTGCTCCTCCTGCTTCTCCTGCTCCTCCTGCTCCTCCTGCTCCTGCACCTCCTCCTCTTCCTCCTCCTCCTCCTCCTCCTCTTCCTCCTCCTCCTCCTCCTCCTCCTCCTCCTCCTCCTCGTTCTCACTCTTTGTCGTCTGCCTTCCGCTCCTCCTCTCCGTTTCGGAGGAGGGACGGCTTCTTAAAAGGAGGCTGCTTCTTAGAAACCGCCGGCCTTGCATCTACAGGCAATGCCCGCGCCTTGCAAGAAGCGGGGGTGCTTCTAAGAAGCTTTCCCCCCTCTCCCGAACTACCCCATACCCCATTATGCGCGTGGCTGAACCTCGTCGCCACGGTCGCGGCTCGGGAGGCCGGCCAGGGCCAGGGCCTACGGGGAAGGTCTGCAGGGGGGGTCGCGTTCCTCCATGGTCGCTGGCAGCGCCGAGTGCGCCGCCTCCCCGGCGGCGGCGCGGCGGGCCCAACAACTCCGGACCCCTCTTCGGGGCCCCCAAACCGTGTGGTGACGGACTGCGTGGTGATCTCGGGCTCCCGAGCGGCCTCACCGCACGGTTTTGGAACACTGCAGGCCCAGGTCGCCCGAGACGTCCTCGGAGAGCGCCTCGAGGCCCAAATCGCGCTGTGGCCCCGACTCCCCGCGGCGCGGGGGCTCCGGGGAGGCTCGAGAGAGCATGGCCGGGAGCAGCTCGGGCCACTCTGCCCGAGCGGCGCCCGGCCGCGGCGCCGCGGGGGCACCCCGAGGGGCCGCGCGGGGCGAGGAGGGCCCCGAAGGCCCTTCCCGCGGGAGGCCCCCGCGCCCCCGGACCTCTCGGGCTCGGGCCCTGGGGCCCCCTGGAGCTCGGGCCCCCTTCGACGTCCCTCGGGGGGCCCCCGCGGCGCCACGGCCCGGCGCCGCGGCGCGGGGAGGCTGGCCGGCGCGGGGCAGAGCCCTCGAGCTGCTTCAGGAGCGGTTGGCCTCGAGTCCAGAGGGCGCCCGTGCCGGCGGCGCGCAGGAGGGGGGCCGGGCGAGGGGAGCACCCTCATCCAAAAAGGCACCCCGCCGCATCTACGCCCTCCTGCCTCGCGGTCAGGAGCTCGTGCTGGCCGTGTCGCGGCGGCGGCCCCGGCGACGCGCCATGCCCTCGGAGCTGACAGCGTGCCGCTGCGCCGCGAAGGGCGCGAGCCTGGGACGAGATCGGGACGCCGACGGGTGGGGACTGGGGCGTGGGCGTGCCGCGCCGAAACGCGGTGGGTCACGACTGGCGGCACGGCGCCCAAACCTGCCTGGCCGCACTGGCTGACGGTCCTGGGACTCGAAAAGGGCCTCCACAAACCCGGAGGCGGTAGCAAAACCTTGCCCCTGACCTCCCCTGGCCTTCCAGGGTACAAAAAAGCACTCCAGACCTGTAGGCCGATCTGGACTGCCCCAAACATCGACGGAATTTGGACGTCGGCGTCCTGGTGCTATTTTGTTCCCCGCCGGGAAGGTCAGAGTCTTCGACCCGCTGAAGAGGCCTGGGCCTGGGGGCCACGGAGATGCCCACGGTGGAGCTCAAGCCCTGGTCCCGAGGGGAATCTGCAGCCGCGGCGACAGGAGACTCCCTGGAGCGCGAAATGTTTCCTCACGCTTCGCGATCACGCCCGTCACAAGGAACGACCCCGCCGTCGCCATCGCTCGGGCGTCCATTCCTCGTCGGCTGCTCGGTTTCGCGCGCGTATGTTCCCGCAAGATGGCCCAACGTGCTCTTCGATGGATCTTGCCCAACAAAAACAGCACGCGCGTCCGAGCGACGCCAAGCACCCAGCCAGCCCCTGGTGGCAGCGTCACGGCACGACTCGCGCGAGCGCCGTCTGGGACCTGCTGGGGTAACCTTACGGGCCCCTCCCCCCTGGTAACGTTAATTCGGGCCTGTCCCCCTACAGGGAGAATATTCAAACAATGATCAAAACATAGTCTGGGGACTATTAAAAAAATGGTCAGCTTCGAATCTGTTTTTAATATTTATATTTTCCGTCGAAAATATCCCTGTAGGGGGACACGCTCGACTTAATGGCAACGGCCGCCATCGCGGGAGGATCCAGCACTTCCCCAGGAGCCAGGAGACCCTCAGAGGGCCAAGAACGGCCGGAACATTCGGGCCCCCCCGGCCATGTAGGAACCGGGCCCCTCAGGGAAGCGCGTCCTGGACTGCGCGGGCCCACTCCCCGAGACCAATGGTCCTTCCCAGCCGTTTTCTGACGGACCAGGGCCACCAGGGGCCCGGGGAGGGCCCCCAGGAGCCAGAGAACACCGAAAAATGCTGCGCGAGCCGTTTCTCTCAGGATCCGTTCCCAAACATCCGACGTGTGATTTTTCACAGTGCTGCCCCCAAAGGTCCTGTCTCCTCCCCCTAGGGGTAGCTTTCCGCCCGGAACCGTTCCCGATAGCCCCAGGGCCCGTAAACGAGCCCCAAGGGCTGAAATCGAGGAATGACGCCCCAGCTGAAAAAAAAACATTGTCGGGAACCTGGGTTTGCTTCACGCGGACCGCCACCGCTACTCTCTGGACCTCTCCCGGGGTGCATGCTGACCAAAGTCTTGAGGAGAATCCAGCCGCGGCGACGAAGGCTCTCCAGCATCTCTTCCTCGTCTGACGCTTGCTTCGTGCCGGCCGCCCGCGTCCTCCGCGCCGAACGACGGCGACTTCGCGAAGCGGCCGGGCGCAATCGCTGTTGTCGTCGTCGCGGCCGCGGGCGCTGGGCTCGCCGCCAGCATCGCCGAAAGCGCCGGCCGCGGGCGCCGCCCGACAGGACCCCCTCCCCCCTGCGGCCTGGGCAGGCCGGTTGTCGAGCCGAGGGCGAGGGGAACCTCCTCCTCTTTCTCCTCCTCCTCCTCCTCCTCCTCCTGCTCCTCCTGCTCCGCCTCCTCCTCCTCCTCCTCCTCCTCCTCCTCCTCCTCCTAGTCCCTCCTCCTCCCCATCGTCCTTCTCCTCTTGGATCGGGGGATCGGGGCTCTGATGCGACTTTGCCGATCTCGGGCTCTCGGAAGCACTCGCGCCGCCGCCCGCCACCCGCCCGACTCTGCAGGCCGACGAGGTGGTATTGAGCCAAGAGATAGCGATGATTACCGGCCTGGGACATATCCCTATCCCTATGCTGGGCACCTCCTCATCACGATGACAATCTTAGGGATTCCCTTATTTTTTGAGGGCGAATCCCTAAGATTGTCATCGCCTTTTGGTGTGTCAATCTTAGGGATAGGGAAACGTTCGAGGCTGGTAAGATGACACAGGATACTCGGCATATTACCTGGACTTCGACCCGATTGTCCTCTGTTGGATATCATCGTGTTTCCTTATTTGGGGCCTCCGCTTTTCGGCCAGGGTGCCTCCAGACATGATTCCAGTAGATCCCAAGGGGAAGGGTCGAGACCTCCGGGGCCAATCTGGAGCACGAGGACGTGTCGAGCCGACAGGGAAGGATGACAAACGAGGGGGAATCGAGGATCGAGGTTGGGGCACCGACTCTACTTCTGCGCGTTTTTGGGCCTCCAGGAACTCTCTGGAGGCCCCCGAGAACCTCCACAGGTCTCTGGAGACCTCTGGAGACGGCCTAGTGTGATCTCAAGACGGCCCAAGAGGTCAACGAGACGCCTCAAACGATCCCGAAGAGAGCTCCCAAGATGGCCGCCATCATTGATTCTGTAGTGCCTGTGGCACAAGTGAGGAGAATACGGTCATTCCAATTTTTTGGGGAACACAAGACGGCCCAAGAGGCCCCCGCGAGGGCCCCAGGACGGGCCCAGAGACTGCCCTCGAGTCCGCCAGACTGCCCCGGAGGCCCCAAACACAGAGCTCCCCATGGCCCACGAGAGGGAAACCGAACTCGACTCGGGAGCATCTCCACAAGACGGCCCCACAGGCCCGCAGGAGGGCCACAAGAGAGGCCAAGAGAGGGACATCGATCTGGCCACAGGAGCCTCTCCTCTCAGGATACATGAAAAAAAAGCCCCCAGATGCCTGAAAGACGCCTCCAGGAGAGACCAAGGGACACCCAGGATGCCTCCACAAGGCCCCCTAAGAGGCCCCCTGGATGCCCCCCAAGATAGGCCCCGAGAAGCCCCCAAGGGGCCTCCCAAAGGTCACAAAGATCAGCCTCCAGGATGGCAGAACGGCTCAGCAGACGGCAGGTGTTCGGTCACCGCCAGGCCCCGGGACCGTCGAACAAAAACAGACCAGGATGAAACGCCGGCCCTGCACCACCATGCCTGGCCAGGGCCATCCTGGGCCTTGGTATTCTGCACACGCCAGGCATCATGGTATGGCGCAGGGTGGCCATGGCCAGGCATGATGGTATGTATTCTTTCTTCGGGTGACAAAGGAGGCTGGAGGGATCGAGGAGAAAGGGATCGAGGATGGAGGACTCGTTGGACGTCTTTAGCCTTTCTGGGGCCGTCGGAAGCCTTCGGAAGTCTGCGCGGGCCCGCCAGCGCAATCAATTTGGCCACCATGTCCCCCTGAAAATGCCTCGTGGGGGACATCCGGGCGTATGTCGGGTCGTGAAGCCAACGAAATGCGAGGACTCACCCGCAATTGATGAAACTTCTGAGAAAGCCTCACTCCATCGGAAGTTTCCTGGAGGCGAAGATCCGGGAGGTTGCGGACGCGGATGAGAAGGCGCTCCGGAAAGGCCCATCCCCCACAAACTCCAGATCTCCGACGTCGCGTTTCCTTCCATGACGCAGGCCGCCCGAAGCTGGAGACCGATGTTGTGCCGCCGGCTGCTTTCTTCGGCGGCCAGCCCGGGGGGTAAGCTAGGCGGCGAGCCACGGGGGGAAGGTGAGAAGGGGCGTGCCTTCGCAGAAGGCTCGGACGTCCCCCGGACTTCTGAGAAGTTTTCAGAGCCTTCCCCGAAGACAGAACAACAACTTCTCGGAAGGCGCGAGGGCTTCTGAGAGGCCCCGCCGCCTTCTGAGAAGGCCTTCTCCCTCTCAATTCCCCCCCCTCGCTCGCCACTCGAGCGGGCCTGTCGAGAAGGCCTTCCACTCCTCACTCCCCCCCCCCTCGCTCGCCGCCGAGTCCTGCTGTTCCCGTCCAGGTCGCGCGGGCGAGCCCCCCCGGGAGGCGCGAGGCCCGGAGCAGGGCGCCCGCCCCATCTCTGCTCGCGAGGAGGAGCGAGGGGGGGGGGCGGCCCTTGGCCGCCCTCGCTGCTCCCAGCTTCGCCTGACCATCGCTCGGCCGTCCTATCTCTGTGTTTTGTTTCGGTTTCGTGCGTTTTTTTTTTCTTGCCAAATGATCAAGGATGCTCCTCGATGGTCCTCGCCGAAAGAAACATGCACACGTCCGAGCGATGCCAAGGCGAGGGAGGGCGTCCCTTGGCCGCCCTCGCTGCTCCCAGCTTCGCCGAGACTTGGAGAACCCGGGAGCCCGAGGCCCCTGCTCCTCCGCCCTCGGCTCCCGCCCGTGTCTTCTGGCCATGGTCGGAGCTTCTCTCGGCAGTGGCAGGGCTCCCGTCAGAAGAGAAGCAAAAGCTCTGCGAGGCCGACTTGGGCAGAGAGTGTGACGGATTAGGCGATCACAGCAGGACGGCCTCCGCCCATCCCCCTCCTCCCCCCCACTCTATCTCTCTCTCTCTCTCTGTATGACGCTGTGATCCATGGTTCCGGCCCTTCAAGGAGTTCCACTTCGCTCCGCACGCCTCCAGCACTCGCGTACAAGGACTACATGATCTGAGCGCGGTCCCTCCTCCCCCTGCGCCCCCTCCTTCTCCCGCCGCGCCTACTTTAGTCCCCAATTCGCCTCGGAAGCGCCCATCCTTTGCTCGAACGTTGCCTGGCTGCCTGCCTGCCTGCCTGTCTGTCTGCCTGTCCTGTCCTGTCCTGTCCTGTCCTGTCCTGTCTGTCTGTCTGTCTGTCGGCCTGCCTGCCTGCCTGTCTGTCTGCCTGTCTGTCTGTCTCTTTCTCTTTCTCTTTCTCTCTCTCTCTCTTTCTCTCTCTTTAGGCTCGGCGGAACTGAGTCGGCATCGGCAAAGCCTTGGGTCGAACCCGAATGACAATTGCTGGCTGATGTCGCTGCTCGCCCCCGCGAAGCGAAGGTACAATAACAAAAACTCTCGAGGAGGGTGCTCTTCGGAAGAGACCAGGAGCGCTCGTTCCGGAGGGAAATCAAAAAGGAGGCAGGGCGAGTGGACGCGAAAGCGTCTCGGCGTTTGGCTGTCCCGCTGTCGCGGGGAAAGGCGATACCCCGAAGTCCCACGTCCTGGACAACCAAATCCGGCGTCGTCACGAAACGCGGCTGGAGCCGGCCCCAGGTACGAACGCCACTTCTCGAGCCGCAACGGTCCCAGGCAATCGTGTTCATCTCGGGGGAGCCTGGACGCCACGGAACGCGAGACGCCATCGGGCAGCGCACCCGCGCAGGCGGGCGCACGCGCGCCGGAGCCTTCTCCAGCATCGTCCTCCTGCAGACCACCGTGCGGTCGACCTGGCGCGGCGGCGCGGGGGACTGAGCAGCGTTGAAGCGATCCCTGTCCCCACTGGCGTGGCCCTGGCCCCACCAGCCAAGTCACCCACCAACGTGGGGACAGGTGCCTGTCCCTTCGGGTCTCGCGGGGCCTCTCCCACCCTAGGAGGGTGGACTGGTGGGGCTGAGATACCCTTGCCCAGTGGGCGCGGGTATAGCTTAGACGATGCTAGAGGACGTGCGCGCGAGCCCACGCGTCATGTTTGGGGCCCGGCGGTTGAGGCGCTGCTGCTGCTGCTGCTGCTCGTTCTGCCACTGCTGATGCTGATCCCTCCCTCCCTACTTCCTCGCTCAGCTCAGCAACGCACACACGCACACACGCGATCCGCCTTAGAAGTGGGTGGGCAGCAAAGAAGGAAGCATCGCCAGAGGAGGAGGAGGCTGAGGAGGATTGGCGGTCCCAGCTGGTGCCTCTGGCCGCCCTCGGATGCACCTGCCGCCCTTTGGAAAGCCATGTGCGTATCTGGCCCACGAGCTCTAAGGTTGGGGGTCTGGACTGACAGCTGCTCATGCACAGCGTGGGCCATAACCTGCACGTGGACAGAAACCTCCTCACGGGGTGCCTCCAGCCATGCCGGTCGCACATAGGTCGCCATCCTTGGGCTTCGCGCCGTGGGAAGCGCGATTTCCTTCGCGCTCTCCAGCCAATCCCTTGGAAAGACCATCCTGAATGAG